AAGGTTACCAGGCATTACAAAATAATGATAGTCAATTTGAAACATCTGATGGAACAAGGAAAGACAAACGCAGTCAAAACAAGAGAAAAGAAAGCTATTACTGTGTGGGGTTGTTAAAACTCGAGCCCTATTTCTAAAGCACTCTCCTAGTAATGTTTTGTTTTTTTTTTACCAGTATTTAAGAAGTGCGTTTCTGGAACTGTGTAGTCTAAAATAAAAGAATAACTTCTTTACCTTATGTCAGATTAAATACAATTTTTTGCACATGTACAATGTGTACAATTTATGATTATTAATTCAACTGAATCCATGATATCTAAAGCTATGGTTATTTAGGAGAAATGAACTAGGCGAAATGTATAATTCTGCCAATAAAAATTTGCCACTCTACAAAGTTGATTATTCATTTACAGTAAAACATATTTTAAATAATAATAATGAACCAGAATTATACAAAGAAGAAAATGATTTCATAAGTGGTGTATTCTTGTTTTTATAACAGATAATTGGTTTAAGATCAAGAAATCATATCGCTTAATTCTTTGCCTGTCTTATTTATATATTGCAGGTAGGTTAGTATGCAGGTAAAGGTTCAAGAAGTGTACATATAAATCTGTCATTATATATATATATATATATATATATATATATATATATATATATATATATATATATATATATATATATATATATATATATGTACTTCAGACGGACTATTTAATAAAATTTGATCTGGGTTAAGTATGTTCAATACCTGCTTCTGACAAATTAGCCTCATTGGATTGCATATATTTTAAAGACAGGGAAATTGCACTCAGAAATATTGCTTAAAATTTTAGCAACAATAAAACTAAACTAACTAATGTGATAAGCAATATAATGACTTGTTACACTGCACATCTTTTGGTAGTAATGACTTCTTATTAGCAACAGGCAACATTATTAAGTAAGCTGCAATAATATGACGTGCTGTCCTAGAAAAGGCTCAACTTCAACCATCTCTAGAATTTTTTTTTTTTTTTTTTTTGGTGGGAACTCTTCATCACACACGCAACCACACATGGCAACGGACTTATGTAGGTCTTTGAACTGTTACAGGTTTGTTTTACCGTCCTTACAGATGTCATCCGGATGTTTATCGTTGCCGAGTTGCCGCAGCAACAGATACACGTGTCCGTCATCCAGCCCCTGACGTAAAGGCGCGACGGTTCAACGGGCGAGTTCCTGTTTCTGAGAAAGCAGCGGAGCCTCCTTCTCTGCTCGCTGTCTCACCGCGGCGCCCTCCTCCTCCTCCTCCTGCTCCTCCTCCTCCTCCTCCTCTTCGTCCTCCTCCTCCTGCTCCTCCTCTTTTGAGCCCACTTCTCTCTCCATTTATCACAGCCTTCTATAGGTTTATGGCTCCATTGTTCACCCCCACCCACTTCTATATTACAGTGTTTATCTTTCCGTGGCAGCCCTCCGGCTCCACCCCGTTCCGTAAATCCTGTGCCTGTCACACCCACGCACTCGCGCTCCCTCACCTGCCTCTACCTCTGCGGGTTGACCAATGGGAGGCCGACGCGGGAGTCGCTATGGGAACAAAACAGGTCAACAAAGGGCGGGGAATAAACCATGCAATGAGGTAAAGCCTGTCAGCATTTGAGGTGAAGCTCAGACGGAAGCGTAGACACATGAATCATTTGTATTGCTATTTTAATGATTTAAGTCGAGTAAAATAAGAACCATTTGTCTTCACTGAAAAACTTTTGTTGAGGTTAATTATACATATAGCTCATAAAGCCTGAGACATGTTGAGACATAATCTCCTACTCTAGCACGTTTTTAGTTTAGTTCACTATGAGACACATGAGAACAAATCAGAACATCGACGTTTCCAAACAAAACTGCATTATGTGACATATAGTCAATAAAGTTGTGTAACATAAAGAGGCTACTGCTATTCTCACAACATTAAAGAGAGTGACTCGCCTTGTACTTTGCAGGTTATGCAGCCTGAAAAGCAAAACCCAGGTAACCACAAAGGTGACTGTTAACCTGACTGAACATGAACCACTTTAATAAATATACATTTTGACATGATTATCAGCTTTGTTTTACAAAAACAAATTTGACATGTGTGGGGTGTATTTGTACTAATTCCATGTGTTTCTTTTCACTGCTTTCTTTTGAGATAAATGATTCAACCAGTTTTGTGCATCTTTAAGTTTTTGTCAATTCTGTGCAGAAAAGCACAAATTAGAGTAAAAATTCCTGGCATGGTATTATGAATATTGGATTGTTTTGGTTTGACTTTAACGAACGTAGTGTAATGAAAGAATAAACAAAGTTATATACAAACAAAATACATTTAAAACTAAAGAAGAGGAGTAAAGTTAAATATATGTTTACACATTCAAAGGAGTGGGTAGAAATATGAACTTATTTTTTACACCCACCCCTCTTACATTTGTATCGTTAACTTAGTCTCTATTATTTTCTTTATCATGTCTATAACTAGTAAAGTGGAGTCATAATTGCATGCCCATATAAGCATTTTTAACATGTCAGAAAATAATTTTTAAATTAATATACTACAATACAATAATATTTGACAACTTCATTAAATAGTAACAATAGCATTGTTTTATATATTTATATATCACAGACCTATTTGCTGTGTATTTTGATTCTCTTTCCTCCACTCTCACTGTTCTGCCCCACCCTGCAGCTGTGCAGCAGGTCAGCATTCTCCCTCCCTGTCTGGCTCCTTGGTTCTCACCATAAAAAAGCTGCCAATCTGGCTGCTAGAAGACATAATTGCCATTATGACTGCTGCAGCCCTGCACATCACATAGTGTACTGATTGTTCCATGGCGAAGGGGAGGAGAGGGGGGACACTGTCTCCACTGTGCAGGCGCCACACAATATTATCATAGCGTGACTACAGCTCATCCACACACAAACACGTGCAGGGTCTCGACTCCGCTGTTTTCAGCCCACTCTGGCTGTCTGTAATTTCCCAGTTAAGCACAAGGCAAACATGTTTCTATAGAGCTGAAATCCACACAACAATGCCTTTGAAAATCGCTAAAAAAAAAAAATCTTTTCAACTGTCAAAGCCCTGAGCAAACACACCAATTGCACAACGTCACTGCCAATAGGAAAAGATAGAAACAGTGGATGGAAAAGCAGTTTGCACCAGTGCAGGAACGCCCAGCTCATATGTGTCTGAGCACATGAAGCCAAGGTTTTTGGGAAAGCTGACCTTATCCCGGCTCCAGTTCCACTCCTCCATCTCCGTTTCCAAATAAAAAAAGGTCAACGTAACCGCTTAAAACGGAGGCTTAACGCTGGCCTCCTCAAGGAAAAAGCAGCTCACGCTTCAGTGAACATATTATAGACACACTTGAACCAGAAAGCCACTCTGTATTTCCATTCCAAGGAGTTGGAAATATAAGTGGACTGTGAACATAATAGTGACTCAGAGCAAAGACTATGAGCACGCTGATTAGCCACAGGAAATATCCGTTGCCACTGTAACAAAGTTGCATATTGCAGAGGGAAATGTCTTGATCATTGTTACAAGATTATGTGGTTGGTTCTGCTGCATTCATAGAGGGAACTGTCTGAGCCCGACGTAGATACTGTTGCTCTCTGCCCGGCCAAATTACAAATGCATGAGCAAGCACCGATTACATGCAGATGTTGCGATGCTCTTGTGTGACTCAAACATCCTGTACGTACGTTAACCAATACCTGAAGTAACCTTTGTCACAGAACAGATTTCAGCTGATAAAGTATCATTTATACTGGAGATACCTACTAGCTGTTCCTGCTGTTTAAACTTTGACACCTCCAGGGTCACATATGACATAAATAATTGAATAAATTCACATAAATATGCATTCCAATGAGGCTTGATTCCACTTACCTTTTCAAAATAATAACCTTTCAGCAGACATGTCGTGTCAAGCACACATTTCCACTTATTTTTTATTAGTCTGGTGTAATATTCTAAACTTGCATGCTGTGATTTCATGAGCCGTAAGCAGAAAATCCTGTTAATTACCAAAAATAAAGGCTTAAAATCATGAGGCTGTGTGTAAATAATCTTTGCAATTCGTTTCACTTAGTGAGTCAAGTCACTGACATAAATCAACTTTCCAATAATGCTGCCATTCAGGAAATGGTTATGTATGTGTCAACTGAATTAAAATTGAAACGTTTCACCTGAGAAAATCTATGTGTAATTTTGTGGTTTCACAAAATGGGTCATTTGATAAACACAGAAATCATCCACTGAAATGTGCAGTTCTATCTGAGTCATTCTAATAATAATTCTTATTGTATTATAATATTATAAGTATATAATATTATAATTGTTATCCAATTATTTTATATTATTGTCCTGCAGTATTTAATTAATCTATTTTATCTGTCAAGCTCTTCCATTAAAGTCAGTGGGTGGAGCAAACTCTGGTTTGGTTTGTATTATTAAACTGGAACCAGTTTAATAATAATAATCCAAACTGTGCAAAATAAAATGTAAATTACTTAAACCTAACATTTTAATAGTGGTACATAGACAGTTAAGCCAAATTTGTTTACACACCATTTCAGATTTATATTTAAAATGTTTTCTTTCAACCAAAAAACGCCATTTCTGAAAGAGAAATTTATATATATAATTGAAAATAACAGGAAATTTGAGTCACTTTTCAGAACGAAGGTTCGTCAGCAGCCCCAAATGTCATCTCATTCTTTGAATTTTCTTGTAGTTAATACATTTCCTTCTTCATTATAGGAAATGAATCATTGTTGCTAAAAACAGACAGTAACAAACTCACCAGAGGTCAAGCCCCATTTTGACAGACAGAGAACTGAGGACGATAGTTGGCACACAAAATCTTTTAACAGCGATACTGCTACTTTTCAAATTAGTCAGAATAAAACTACATACAATGCATCCCAAAAGAGATGACGCAAAGTGTCACATGCAACATCCGTGAAGCATCCACTGATGGAAGAAAAAGATAAAGAGGTTTATTATCAAAGCATACTTTTTACAGGGTAGACTCAGCTATTTCCAGCAAAACAAACATTCTACATACAGCTCTGGAAAAAAAATAAGAGGCCACTTAAAATGTTCAGTTTCTCTAATTTTACTTTTTATAGGTATATGTTTGAGTAAAATGAACACTTTTTTTTTATTCTATGAACTATTGACATGTCTCTGAAATTCAAACAATTTTACCAACAAATGGTCAAAATAAAGAAGATGTCTCATCATTTAATGCAAATGCAAATAATGCAAAGAAAAAAAGTTCATAAACATTTGGAAACAACAATACTAATGTTTTAACTCAGAAATCATTATTTGGTGGAATAACCATGAGGTTTTCAATCGGGTTCAGTTCAGTGATCTCTTAATTTTTTCCAGAGCTGTATACACAACTAAAAACAGCAAGGTTCTGCAGGGAGAGCGTTGAAACACAATACTTAATAAATAGGGGAAACTTGGTCAGGTATCTGCATATATTTCAGGATGTTGTGCATTCCTTAAGACAATCAGAATGAGGGGAAAACATACCTGTTTTGATAATATAACATTTCCAAAAAAAGGTTGTCTCAGCTCAATTTATCCCAGTCTCCTCTAAATGTTTCAGATTGAACATTTTTTAAGCAAAAAAATGTTCAATCTGAAATCCATTACTTGGAAAAAATGGGACAATAGCTGATTTTCAATGCTACCAAGTTTCATATATCCATAACTTAAATAGCTAAATGTGTAAAATAACATTTTGGCATTGAAAAACATTTTGGCATTGAAAATGTATATCTCTGTATACCATGTTCAATTAACAGAAGAGTGAAAATATTAGTGTCCCAACTATATTTCCCTTTTAATACCCCAAATGTAACAAACATACCATCTAAGACTTCTCTTTTATACACTATTCACAAACCTAGTCATGTGCAACTCAGTATCACATGATGGCATTTCCATGGCTTTCACACACAAATCAGAAACAAAAAATAATAAAAATAATAATTAAAAAAAATACAGTATTGATTAAAATCCAAAACGTTTAACAAAGACAAAGTCAAATGTTTTCCTGATTTGTTAAATATACAGGAGCATTTTCCAAGCTGAAACATTGGCATTAAAATGACCTACCTGCTCAATAAAACTAAAAATCAATAAGGCCTGATCATCAATAGCAGCCATGCATCGAGTGCACTGCCACAGCTACACTAAGATGAGTTATGCTGCAACATATTCAGTCTCTTGCTGTGTCAGACACACTCACAGCCTACCGCTAAACTCAAAAGCATTCTAGGAAATCTCTTTGGTACATGTGATAGCATTACACACATGCTATTTCATCTGTCTTAAAGGCAAAGAAAGAAAAAACCTTCTAAATCACAAAACTAAAGATGAGGGACTGCATTGAAATGAGACTTTGCCTCAAAATTTCATACCTATTCATATTAAGTGGAGTATCAGTAGGAGATCTCAATATGATTCATGCATTCATTTGGAGGGGAAAAAAAACAACAATGACAATATAACAGGATGTTGTCTTAACTGAACATTTAAGGTAGCATAATCGCTTTAATCTGTTTTCTGTCCCGCCGTCAGCTTGTCGGCATGTAGAGCGAAGGTCTCGGCCACAATGAGAGGGAAAACCAAAGAGGCGTCTGCATACACCTGAAATCCAACAACAGATCACAGTAACTATTTAATGAGACCACTGTTATTGTTTTATTACCCTGGCAAATTTGACTTTAAACCATTGAATGCATATCCATTGTTATTGACATGCTTTTTTCATTTAAGATAAAGGAGAGAGAAACAAAATGTGAATCTAAATTCAACTATTACACCTATAGCATTGTTCTTTGTTATCTTTGAATGAGTTGACCGTCTCATTTCCTGTCAGAAACAAACTTTCTGGTTCACTCAAAATAAATCTAAATCTACCAGGGTGTGAAAGATTTTTGGGACTTACTGTAGGATTGATTAAAAAAAAAACAGCATTAGTTCTTAGCACAAATAGTGATCCAATGTCGCCATCTTAAGGCTGAAGCATGCCTTTGCTAGAAACAATTACATCCGATGATCCCATCTGATTAGGAAAAATGCAATAAAACAAGTCTAAATTACATTCACTCTAATACGCCATAAAGATTAAACATTTCAAACAACGTTCATAAAACATCACATCACCATAGTGTGTTGTGTCTCTCAGTCACAGGAATCACTTTATAACTAAACTCCAAGTAACCACTGAATCTAACAGTCAGGTTTGTGAACTATGGGAGGAAGTTGGAGAACCAAGAGAAAACAACACACCACCATGCAGGGGGAGCCTTCTTGCTGAAAATGCATTAATGCTTTGCAGCAAGAAGGCTCCCCCTGCATGGATTCTACCAAAGTCATACATTGGTAGAATTTCTTTTTACATAAAAACCTAAAAGGAGGGACAGAGAAATAGATATTGTGCTAAAGGGGGCAATCCCGAAAGAAAAACTGTCAGAAGCTACAAAAGACCTGAGATTTGGAGTGGAGAACGACGGCTTCAAACAAAGCAAAACGACGGCTTCAAACAAGAAGCCAGAGCTACAAAGGAAAACTAAGACTGACATGAGGATCTGTACCTTAATAGGTTTGGCATCCGTCCTAATTTTTCCCCAGGATACGGCCTCGTCAGGTCGGGCCCCAGAGTCCGAACCATCAAACTCTTGACCCGTGTTCACATACACAGCGTAGTCTGCGCCGTTTCTCTGGAAGAACAACAAAGATAGGGAAAGAAAGGAATTTGTTCAGGTTTGCTCCCTAGGAATGAACTTTATTACGCTTTAAAACACTATCATAAAAGCTTTAAGACAGTTTTTTGAAAAAAATGGATTCATTTAAATCAACTTAAAAAAAAACCAACTCAAATAAAGAAGCAACAAAGGTCTCTGATGGAAGAAAGATGCAACAGGGTCCCATTAGAAATGTTCTGACCAGCATTCAGCTTCCAGCAAACCACAAAATGATGTAGTATGACGTAAAAATATTCTGACAGCACTTTCATTTCAGTCGGAGCCCAAAAAACAGCTTCTAATCCACTACTTATAATATGTTTGATCAACAGATGGTTAAATTTAATTTGAAAAAAAAAACAGAAGGTTATTTTTTTGTGCAATATGATTTGCAAAGAACATCATAGAAGGTCATTTACCATGAGGTTAGCATTGGCTATATGATGTTTCACCAACCCTCCTCCCAGGATGATCATTCCCGTTTTCTTGGCAAAAACTGCCATGCCGTTCAGTTTTCGAATGTCTGAAACAAACACCAAACTCAAAATAAGGGAGCTGTGCGACATTAACGCTGACCTTCAGCTGCAAAATCACTCCTTTGATGCCGTCATTGGTGAAAAAGAATCTATTATTGTGGAGAAGAACAGACAGATAAATGAGCTGAAGGCAACAATCGAGGAATATTCTGCCATCACAGAGCTGCTGAGGAAGGATAAAAACAAACTTGAGACCCAAATGCAGATGATTTTTCCAAGTTTTTCTGGAGCCTCTGGATGATCTCCATCGTTCCACTACTAAAGTGGAACTGCTCTGTTAAAGTGCTGCTGCTTTTTACCTTCTACGATGTCCAAAACCAAGCCGGGGTTCTTAAACGAGTGGAAGTAGATCATGTCGCCCAGAGAACCATCAGTGAGTGCAGGACTGAACACTGGGATGTTATTCTGAAACACAAAATTGACCTTTAGCAATCTGGAATAACACAAGATGAGGTTTCATGTATCACTTCACATTTCAGGGAGAAACCTTGTATGCCCAGTAGTAGACAGAGTCAGTGTTGTTTATCTCCTTGCCGAGCCGATGGATCATTTTAGAGGGAGTCCACCGGATTCCCTGAAACACACAAACTTGCTGTTTGATTTAAAGTGCTAAATATTGTGAAATGAGCATTTACATGTCCAAAAAGAGCTTCATGACAAATGCATATCTTAGTATCAGCACATTGCATTTGCGTCAAAATCAGTCGTCCACCTCTGTGTTTTGCTCCAATAGCATTTGATCCAGAATGGGCATCAGCCAGTCTTCAAACTTGCAGTAGTTATCGTTGGGGACCAGAAGGTTTCCTATCCTACACTCGGAGAAGACAGATTAGAGACAGTGGGTGGACACAAATAATTTAATATACTCTAGAATTTAATTTCATCTGATTTTATGAACAGCATTTTTATTTGCTGATTTTATACAAAATGAAAACTGGTGGAGAGTTTTAAAAAAAACCTTATTGAAAAATAGTGCATGCATGCTGTTATATCTAACAGGTAACATGAGAAGAAAGTTACACTGAAAGTTCATCTGAACTTCCTCCATCTCTGCTGTTCTTGAGCTTTGTTCTCCTATCTCCACCTCCATTCCTTCTGACCACTTCTTCACAGTCATTTCCAGAACATTTTTTTTGCTTCTTTTACAGTCATCAGAAGATGCAAAAAGTTATATCTCCCTTTGCTTCACTTTAAAAGCAGGAACCCTGTTTATGTAGACTCAAACACCAACCTGTTGATGCCTCTCAGACGCAGCTCTTTACCCGACAGACTGAAGTCTCCCAAATAAGTATGAGCCAGGCACTTAATGAAATCCTCCTCAATGCCTCCAGCTGTGGTGACAATCACATCCACCTAAAAACAAGGCAACCGATTGATAAACCACTACAGTCACATCAAATGGTTTCATTATTTTCGGCAACTTTAAGTGAACACGTTTGCACCATTTTATGCTCTGCCAGGTAGCGGATGCTCTCTCTCACTCCCGAGCTGATGAGGTTCGAGGTGTATCCCAGGAAGATGGTACAGCCAGACTTGCGGGAGGATTCGCAGGACTCTCCGGACTCATTTTCTCCGTCTACCTCGACCGGCTCCAGACGTTTCTCTATCTGTGGTAAACTTGGTTAGCAGCAGTTCAACACTGCAGAGCTCCAACATTTTATTTAGTTAAAACAGATAAAAGACTGTAAACAAAGGTGTTTTTTTTTTCTCTTTTTCTGCTATGTTAATGATACACCAATCAGTTCAGCCATTTATCCATCATTTTTTGAAAATGCATCAAAACAAAGAAACTTCCTAAATGTGTTTTCTATAAACACGTCACTAACAACATTCAATCTGATGCCCCCTCTATGAGTTTAATATAAATGAAATAGTGTTTGAAATCCTTTTTTGTTGTTGTTATTGTTGTTGGATTGAACGCTATTACCTTTATCATAGTCCAAAGAGAAAATTGAGGGAATTAAACAAAATCTGAATCAGCAGCTCAGACCAGAAAAGCAGATTTCTCTGTATGGGCTAGGAGAATCTCTCACCATCCGGTTGATCTCCTGGATGGCCAGACCCAAGCTACTGGCCTGAAAGCCTGTGGTCAGGTAGCTCTTCAGCAGCGCCTTGAGATCAACTCCCTGGTTGAAGTCGTAGCCTCGGATTTTGGGCACATCATCCGGGAGTACAGAGCTCGGCTTCAGAACTGCCTCCATGGCAATAGAGGGGGCATGGTCCGCCATTTGTCCTGTTACAAAAAATGTACTGCATGTAAACAAATGAAAAACATATATATAAATTATGCATCAAAGTGCAGAGACTATCTGGGAAAAATAAACAAATCCAGTGAAATGTGAACAGGAGTCTGGTCAGCAGCTCAGGCTGATAGTTGCTCTTTAACTGCACTATTAGAATGTAATATACAAATTATGGGATTTAATTTTTTAAAATGTTGTCATAAACTCCATGGAGGACCAAAGACTAATACGTATATATATATACACACACATACATATGCATAAATATATCAAATAGCGCACAGAATTACATGTCAACACTTGAATGAGAATGTTAAACCCATGTGGTTTGACATTAGCAGCTAAATGCTAACAGCCAGTAGCTGCTCGCTCTTCTGATTTTAAATATAACACAAGCACAAAACGTACCTTTTCTTTACAAGATGTTGTGTGATGACAGAGTGAGAAGTTCACTTCTATCACAGCACCCAATAGCAAAAATATTATAGTTTTGTAGCCCTGTACGCATAGCAAACACTGTTAGGCTAAAAGCACCCGCTACGGAAAACGCGAGTGGACAAACTTGATAACGCGCACACATTTGGGTGAAAGAAATATGTGAAAATGAATCAGCTTAAACTTGTTCACATTTTGTCACTTTTCAAGGATGATTTTTGTGTGTTTTATTTGGATTTCATGACAAATGAAATCCAATGTTTTTTGCTTTCCCAATTAAGCACAACACAGTGCTTAATTGGGAAAGCACTCATTGTCTTCAAATTTCCTTTCAAAAGTGAAAATGTCAAAAGTGTGGCATGGATTTATGTTTTGTCACCTGTATCAATAGATCTTGAGCCAGTATTTGTTAACATTACTGCTCCAACTCTTTTTGGATCTCTCTCCACCAGCATGAAGTCGTCGTCATCAGCTGTGAAGTGTTGTGTGATGTTTGTGACATTTTCAAAAAAAGCTTTGTGTGACCTTTTATATCACAGAGTCTTTGAACTCCCAGCAGCGAATAAAAGAAGGCACATGGGTCAAAATGCAAAGCCAGGAGCCCATCTGAACAGACTTGCCACACGACCTGGACAGACTATCAGGAAAGATGTGCAGCAGCAGCAACAGCATCATCCAGGCCCAAAAACTGGTGGATCAACTCCAAATTGAAGCAGGCATGGAAAGATTCAAGGTATGTGAACTCAAACATTAAGGCACATCTACAATTACTGCAGTGTGAATTTCAAACATGTCAAAGCATTTTCTTTGGTAATTAAACTAAGAATATGCTTCAAAAATCCCCATTATCCAGATTTGTTAATATTTGAACTTCTGTCTGTTGTCTGAGCAGATCTCCCTCACAGCAGCGGATTTAGTCCAATACTGTCAGGAACACAGACGCAGCGATCCTCTGCTAACCGGCATATCGGCTTCGTCCAACCCTTTCAAAGATAAGAAGACCTGTGTACTACTCTGACACCAGAAGATCCACGCTGCAATACAGGAAACTTAGACTGGGAGCGCCAAAGGATTAGTTTAGCCATTTATATTTTGCCTATCATGTATTTATGCCTCATCTGCAAATATACATATAATTTCTGACACAGAATTTTCAGGACTTTCAATGGAAAAGTTAGTTTCACAGACTTACAAACAAAAGAACAGAAGCACTTTTATTGTGCATTGTAGTTTAATTTGTTAATGCATAAATACAATAAACAATTAAATATTTGTGGTTCCTTTGAGTTTTGAACATAGACTGAATAAAAATTACAAGCTATAACTTACACAACAATAAAAAGGACCAAAACAATAGAAACATCCTTGAATTAAATCTATCATGTGACAAATAAGAGTGTAAGACAAAATGACTTGGAAAAGAATCAGGACTCCATCAACACTGAACAAAAAGTGTTCACTTTGAACATTAAAAGAAAGTAAAAGGAACAGTTTGTTATCTGGCAGTGTGACTGGGGGCCAATAAAGCTGTCGTTTTAAGCAGACAGAGCAGATTTACTCTCCCTGCCAAATAGCAGTAACTTTCTCCTGTGTTAGATTAGTTTGCTTGGTATTTGCAAGTGTATTGTCCCACACATTTGTGACATACATTGTCAGTGTAATTTCCCTTCAAATATTGGTTTATTGGATTTTCATATGGAAATATTTCTTCGTTCAGATAAAATCTACTTAAGATATATTTCACCAACAAATATAAACTGACAAAAAAAAAACAAAAAAAAAAACAGAAATGTTAATAAAGCTCAGATTTCTACTGCAGGGTTTCATATAGTACAAGAAGATTTGTAAGGCTGGGGGAAAAAATTGCTAATTTTTCTGTGCTTGTGTGTCCAGGTCCACAAGAGGCTGCAGAACCGAATCAATTAGGTGGGACGATTAACACATTTTGACAGGAATGCAGACAGAGCGGTTTAAAATCCAAGTCCAAATCTGTCAAAAAGTAAAAGGTTTATTGACAAAGCAAAGCAAAATATGCAGTTTTTTTTCTTTATCCATTGTTTAAAATGTACTCTTTGAAATCCTTTAGTGAAAATGCACTTTATTATCCTGCTTTCTTTCTATTGTCAGTGAACATATTTTAATAAATAATAAAAACTCCCTCATCGAAAGAGCCTCTTTTTTTGTTTGTTTACCATTTATCCTTAAGTTTCACAATGCAGACAGAACGATACGGCCATCAAGTGCAGATCTTGTATGAAGCTTTTTTCAAAACCTCCAGTGGCATTTTAATTCCTGGGTCTCCAGATATTCACAGTATCATCGCCGGTGGACACAGCAACTATCCCAGCCTCCACACTCAGCTGACATTCAAAGGAAATGGTAGGAGGGACAGAAACAGATGAAATAATGAAAAACGGATTAGGCCATCACTTTAACTTTTAAAAAAACAATAATATGATCATTTTATTAAAAGTAGGAGATAAATATAAAGTTTGATATTTACCTTCACCATATAAAAAGACACCTTTTAGCCACTACTGGTACAGGATCAGAAGTCATATTGTTGTATAAAGATGCAACAATATTCCTCCTGTAATTCTTAGATTTAACTAAGAAATTATTTTTGTAATCCTTATTGACTCATCAGTGCTGCATTTTAGTCTCATTTAATGTGGGTAAAAAAGGTGAGCCTTTTTATACATAGAATGTAAATAACCGGTCTCAGCTGTATTTACACAAAAGTTTTACTACTGTCATTAAACATTTATATTTTGATTTATAGAACTGACCCCATGGACTACGCCGGCATGGCACAGTGTACATAAAGTCCTTGGTGGTCCACTTGGGATATGGATCTGCAAAACACACGTGGTTACTAAACTGAGCTGGGTTCAGAAGTTAAAACAACAGAACTTCACACTGAAACCCACCTTGACAGTTTTATCAGTAGAGCAGGTGTAGAGGCTTCCTGCAGACTTGTGGACGCCAGTAACCAGAGCCGAATGTCCCACATCAAACCTGGACAGGACCTTTAAGGTGCCGGTCTGCATGGAGAAGGAGTGCAGCATGCCTTTCTTGTCTCCAGCCCAAACCTCATGGCCACTGTAGCTCATGGAGGATAAATAGGAGCTCAGCTGCAGACAGAAACATTGACGCCATCAATTTTAAGTCTGGATGCACAAGAGCAAAAATAAATGTTACAGGCAGTAATAGTTATCTCCACCTTAATTTTCTTTAATGCCCTCATGGCCCTGCAGTCATAGACTGCCACAGTGCAGTCTTCGCTCCCTGAGATGATGTATGTATCGTCAGCAGCCAGGCACATTACAGCATTGCCATGGAGATGAACACTTTTAATCAGTGGTTCAGGAGCTGGAAAACAATAACTTCTTTAGGCCATGCTGACGAGATCATTTGTACGATTAAACATTTAGAAAAAAAAATCCAGATTTACTTTAAGAGCAGGAGTAATTGTTAGCTATACAGCAAAAGTAATTTCATTCATGACTTAATTTTTAAAGCCTAAATGTTTTCTAGACACATTACAAAGAAGACCAACACTAAAACATTTTGTTGAAGAGGAAGGGAAGAAAAACTGAATTTACAGGATACAAATACTTTCACAAGGAACTCTATGTGTTAAATGTTCTCACCTCTCGTGTCATACATATTGATCCTCTTGTTAAACGTCCCAGCCAGTAAAACATCGTTCTGACAGGACAGGCAGAGAACAGCTGACCCGGTCCTGATCAGGCCTCTATTGGTGCCGCCTGCCTCCAAGTCCCACAGCCTCACTGTGCTGTCAAAGCTCCCTGAGGCCAGAAGAGGACCCTCGGATGCCAGGCACCAGACCCAGCCCTGATGAGATGTGAAGTCACCTTTCCTTCCCAGGGTGTGCAGCAGTGTACCGTTAGATCCTTCCTCCAGGTCCCAAAGTTTCACATCATAGTCTCGCGACCCCGTGGCACAAACTGCTCCCTTTCCTCCAAGCAGGAGCACAGAGTTGACCAGCGCAATGTGGCTTGAGGGTAATGTAATGCACTCCAGTGCTGGGGGAGGACTAGGACTTCTGGAAGGTTGGTGTTGGGCCATTTCCGCTCTTTCCCTGTCATTGACATGTCTTGGGGAGGCAACGTTGTTTTGGTCACGATGAGCAGCTTCTGGTCCCACATCAGCATTGAGCTCCATCCTTTCATCTTCAATCAGTGCAGCTATATCAACCTCCAGCCTGTCTTCCAATCCCGCTCTCAACTGTTCCATCTGGTCCTCAACTAACACTGGATGTATTTCACCATTCTCCACTTCCATTACTACTTCTATACCTTCATCAGCACCATAAGCAACCTCCTGTGCTGCCACTCCCACCCTAGCCTCCTCCTCTCCTTCTTCATTTTCGTTCTCTTCAGCAGCCTGTCCTCTCTCCTCCAGCCTCACTTGATCTACTTCCTCCTCTGATTGTTTGCCCACTTGCTGCACTTCACCTGCCCAGAAGGTAATGAGCTGCTCCATCTCCAGGCAAGAAGTGGGCCAGTCAAAATCATCCCTTGGCCCAACTGGAAACCTCACTCTTGATCCAATTAGTCTTTGTGCCCGAAGCTGCCAAGCTGTGGTGTCTTCACCAACTGTACTTAAAGTGCGACATACCTGAAACAAGGTAAAAGATGAGAAATCTTCTTTTCTTGCACAAGTGGTTATTACCCTGGAACTTTTTCAATTTGGTCTAATATTACATCTTCAAACTCCAGTGTATTTTATTGGCATTTCAAATAGCAGACCCAAACAAAACGGTAAATGAAATAAAGCCTTCACTGTTATTTAGCTCAAGTGTAGTCAGATTGGATAATGAATGTTTGAAGCATCAATTTTCAGATTTGTATTAGAAAAAAGAAAAACTACTTCCACTTTTCAGCTATGCACTGCTTTGTTTCTCCACAAAAATTCTGATTAAAAAAAAAATACACTGAAGCTTTTCTATGAAACGTTCAAGGGCAACTCTGACAAAGTTTCAGGCTTGTCCATCCTACCTGTGGCAGCACATTGATCAAACAATGTGCAGGAAGGTATGAAGCTATGTGAGTCAGGATCTCCCATGGTAAGAACAACAAGCCACTTGACTCAGCAGAAGCAGATGGTGAGGGACTTGGTCCTGCTGATGGTGAGCTAAGAGGAGGGGAAAGGCTGACAGGAATATGGAGGGGGGGGAAAAATGAATCATGACTCTTCCTCATCTCGATAAACATGAAGACGTAGATCGATGGAAAAAGAGGGCTTTATTACCCTTGGAGCTCCATGTTGGAACGGTCAGGACATGGAGATTTCCGCTGGTCCAGTCCGTCCGGAACTCCTTTCTCCGATTCTGTTTCATGTAGGTCAACTCTAACCTCAGACATCTCTGTTTTGACCACTAACTCAACAGCTGTAAGTAAACATCTCTCTTAATTAATGTTGCTGATTCATTAACTTTAAAAAAAAACGTCCCAAATTTTCCTAATGTGACAGTTACATCTGATATTTTGATGAAACAGTAACCATCTAGTTTAAAAATCACTATTTGTAACAGCTTTGCATACAGTTTGCTGGGTTCAAGGTGAAGTTGCTGCCTCCCGGTTGCGAGTCTTTAAAAAGGTGTTACCTCTAAAAAAGAAAAAAAAAAAAAAACACTCATCTGAAACGGAATATGACAAGCGGCAACAATCAAAACACAACCCACAGCAGTCTACCTCAGTGCTGTTAGGGAAAAAAAATCCAAAGTTCAAAATACAACTTCCGGTGCACACTGATGACGTCATTAACCGCAGCAACGTTATTGTTTTTATTTTGAGTTTTCACCTTGGAGAAGCTCGTTGTTTCTTCAGTTCTAAATTATTTTATGTTTCCTTGGGATGTTTTTCTTTTCAAGTAACCTGAGTGTTGAGTTATTATCGGGTTTTGAAGCGGGTCTAAACCTACGTCATTGCGCGACATTGTGGTAAACACTCGGAGTGGCAAGACGTTCGTGTCCGCTTCCATCATTATTTTTTTTCAGTGTTACTTTTTCTATTTTAGTCGTTTGGTCAAAGCAAAAATATGCAATCTTAAGTTATTTATTTTTTAAGTAAGTCGAAATGACTCAAAGTCCGCAGCCATCTTTTTTTCCCCCCGACTTTTCTTGTTGCCACTCAGTGGGCGCGGCCTTAAAGAAACTTACCCGAAGAAATAAAAAGCAGGAGCCCATTTTATTTAGGACTTAAATATAATTAAGCATTAATATTATTCAACTGAAGATTCTGCCTTGCTAATGCTTTGTAATACAAGGCATCATATTTACCATTGACAGCTATCCCAGTGTTGTCATTTTAGTACTTCAGGATTTTATTACGCAATATTTACTTTTTTCTCTCTGGTCTTTATTTCATATGTGACATCCCAGGCTATTTCCACACAGGATGTAGTTGCTTTGTCAGCTTTCAATAAATAAAAATTAGAGGTTTGTGTATCTATTCAGCTCATTCTCACCTAATCAACATTTGATTCATATTTTAGAACAATAAAAAAGGAAATAAAAATAGTGCATTAATTGCACACATACACTACTACTAAAATTTACCAGTCAAGGACAGTTAATTCTGAGATGTACTTGCACTAGTAATTTATAATTCAAGGAAAAAAAAATAAATGACTCCAACTCCAGGATAATTCACGTTTTATTTTGTAGAAATTTAAAAGCAAAAAAACTGCTCATGAAATATCTAAGAGTGGCATTCATTCCATATTGTTGTCAGGTGCCGTGGCACATAATCCAAACAAGACAGGTTTCAGATGTTACTCGACACAATGATTGTTCTATACATTTATCATTTACGTTAGAAAACTTCCAGCCAACTCAAAGATCTAAAAAGGAAAAGGTTTCCCCTCTTCACAATTACTACATAAGGGTACATCAGATCAAATCCCACCCGCACCACAGGTCAGCAAAAACGAAATTAAATTCATTTGCCAAGCTCTAGAATAGAAAAAGGTTGATTTGTTTTCCACATTTCCCCCTCAATTTATCTCCTGGCGTTGACTTGCCTTCAGCCCACATCAAATGTAACATAATCAGATGATAAGCTGTAAAACAAAAGAAAACTTCTCTTTAAATAAAAAGAATAAAAAAAAAAACTTTTGAAATCCAAAAAAATAAAAAGAAATTGTGCACAATAGCACAATAAAATACATAAAACAAATCAAAATAAATAAAATTGAAAAAACATGGAACTATAAAAAGAAAAAAAAATATAAGTGGAAAAACAAAATACATGGGAGTTTACTTTTTATATATATATATATATAAAACCAAATTAAACATTCTACTGTATTCGGCACAATTTCACTTATGAGCTTTTGTCAATGCTTCCTTTTGCACCTCCAAATGAGTCGTGGTCTCACTGTGGTGCTGCAGAAAGTGGTTTCAGATCCTAAACAGTCATATCAGTAAAAAAAAAAAAAAAAAAATTAATCCGTCACATTTGTGGAAGGGAAAAAATAAAAATAAAAATTAAGTCACATTAACCTACAAAATGCATAATCCATCAACAGAAGCTGGCATCTCTTTATTCAATCAGGCAGGAATAGACTTCTTTTTATGAAAACACCATCTTTGGAATTTGTTTAAGCAACCTGACAACCAAAACCACTTACTGTCTGGCAACCAAATACATCTGGGGGCTACATGAAAGCAGGCATGAGTCAGACTGTACTCCCTAGAACAGTATCAGAGTAGGGCTGGTGCAAAATTATGTCTAAGAAGTACTTCTGTAAACACCAACAGGCAAAGATCCACACACACACTTCCAATGTAACCATCAACTATGGACAAGAACTTAAAAAATATAACCAACACTCCCACGGATAAGGTAACCAACCAGTGTAATCTAAGAATTTAAATGACTCCCAGCATTCCCAGACAAAACCTACACAGTATAATCAGGAGAACATATGGCAACAATCACTAGTTTGATAGGAAGCAGGAGCAGTACCATGTACGTCCAGCAGCCAAGCTAGAAAACAGATAAAACTCTTAATGTTTTAAGATCAGGGATGCCTCAGACATTAATAACCAAGAATAGAGATGCACTGAGGGGAAAAGACAAAAAAAAAAAAGGTTGAAAATTGGATATCTGATATTTTCCCGGTCAGTGAATGCATTATTGATGCAATACTGTGTCAATGTTTCAATTAAATTTGGAGGAGGCTCTGAAACCCATCAAAACATACTTATTTTTTAGGCTGCAATAAAACAAGATTTTACTTTAATACGTATGTTGACGAACTTTTAGAAACCTTTAAATTAACATGTCTAATTGAAGTTTCTTGGTCTCCTTCACAAAGTGCCACATGGTGGTGGTGCTGCTCTCCCAGTGTGAATAATTTAGCTTTCAAGAGCCACAAAGAAGCAAAAACAAGATTAATATTCTGATTTGAAATTATTTTATTCTGTTTTGGGGTTTTTTTACTCAAGGCTACCGCCCCCATCTCTTTTAGGACCAAAGCTAAAAAAAAATAGCATAAATAGAACCTTGCTAGTGTTCCCGAACACAGTAAAGTCTGACAAGGCCTTAAGGATCTACATTCTTTAGGGAATACAAAAGGAGACACTTGTTTCAGTAATTCTGACTGCCGACATACAATCTTTGCATTAAAAGTAGTAAATCTAGCACATATGGCATGAACCGTTCTCTTCTCACTCTACAACTAACAGCTAATAGTAAGACTGGAATAATAATTTTAAAAAGTGACATTTATTGCTATTTGTTTACTTTGTATTAATGGGTTTTAAACCGAAATCAAAACCTGCCAACTCTGGTACTGGTGGCTGAAAAATTAAAACCGATATTGGAAATTGGCCACAAAAAAATCTCTTCAGTGCATCTCTAACCCTTAAGTGTGAAGAGAGAGGCAGAAACCATCTCAGTTGCATTTATAGGTGCAGTGCCTTCTTCCTATGATCCCATTCATCCCCGTTTAGGAGTTGTGAATCTATGGCCTCGCTTAAGTCTTACTCTTAACTTTATTATTTTGCTTACAGCAGTCCTAAAAGTCACTTATCCAGAGAAGCTAACAACTTCAGTATATTATCACTGTATGTCTTACAATAGAAATTCTATTTCATTGGAACAGAAAAAAAGTGCATTCATACCAGTAGGAACTCATTCTTGTTGATTTCTCTCAGCGAGTCCATTTCTTTAAATATACTAACAACAAAGCCACAGCAGCGAATACGATTCTTGATCTGCTTACAGTATTAGCAATCTTGATGCATCAAACAAACTTATTTCCTGAATTTATCTATAGCTGGTCTTAACGCAAACAACCTCGGTTAAAACTATAGGGGGCGATGATTAGAATGATCGGAGGGGACACATGAACCAAAGCAGCAGGTGGCTTGAAAACTGAATTAATGCTACAAATAAATGACATTCACGTGAACATGCAACTTAAAGCCTAGATTATGTGGATTATAGTACATTGGAACTGGGTTGACGTAAACCTTAACTGCTTCTGTTGACGGGAAAGAAATAAAGCCCTACAGTTAGAAAGGAAATCTACAGATCAGACGGAAATGTACATATGAACAAAGATGCGCGTTTGAGTTGAGTGTGCATATAGAAAGGTGTATGCAGTTCTCTTGGAAAAGGTGCAAAGGTTCTGTGCACATCATTACAAAGTAAAAGCAAACACAGTTCCCATGCTGTTACTGATAATTGTACCTCCCATCCACGTCACTAACTTGTATGAACAATCCAATCGTGAAGACGGGGGGGTCTGAACTCTCCCCCCCCACACCCCAATCCCACTGTGTTGCCCTCACCTACCCGAGATCCCTGGATTGCGGTTGGCGAAAGTCACTTTTGAGTTTCTAGCAGTGAGGCATTTATTACGAGAGGTATACATATATCCCTGGTTTACCCTCCCTCAGCTACCGCCCTCATCCCACCCTCCCTCAGAGACAAACAGGGCGCAGGGGAAAAGGAGGCCATCCGCAGACTGGAGGATCAGGGCCAGTCGCATCCCTCCAGCTCCACTTTCTCCCCATTATTTGGGCAGTGCAATGAGTTCTCCTGTTACCCTCCCCTTCATGAACCTGGAAGGAAAAAAAAAAAGACAAAATAAGTCATTTTAAAAGAGACTTCACTGGTCAGAAACACCTATACTGGTGAAAAGTGGGATTCTGGATCAGAACAAAAAAATTGGGAACAAAATGTATCATTAGTTCTCAATGAGCTGGGTGTTTCATCACATCCAGAGGCCTTCGACCTGGAGGAAATGACCTTTCCATGGCAAGGACTTACTTACTTGACAGGTCAGTGGAACAAGGGTTGGATTAGACACCGTAGCAGGCCGATAGACGTTCTTTCAACAGAGGGGGGAACTGCTCAGAGAACTGCTGCCAGTTCTCTTCTCCCACCTGGTCCTTGAAGCCATGCAGGATCTGGAGAGAAAAGAAAAACATCTAAGCTCTTTAACATGCTTTCATAGTTGAATAACACAGGTTTGCCCACTCAAAGACTAATAAACTTTTGAGAGGGTTTTGTGAAAAGAAGTTTGCACCACACTTCTCAGAATCATAATCATCCACACTTTGAAATCAGATTTCGAATGTCTGATGAATGATCATCACAGTGTAGTGAGAAAAGACCAAACAGGGCAAGGTTGGGATTACTCCTCATCAGTCACTTACCTTATAAAACATATCTCGCAGGTCATCCTTTGGACTGACCCATGAAGCCACAGCGTCACAGAAGAAAATAAAGTCCTGCAGAGGTGAGATTTGTTCTCTTAGCACACCAACATATAACCATAGTAGTTTTATAATCCGACGTGTCTAGCAGAAATAAATCACCTCACCTGTACAACTCCTGCAGGATTGACACCAATCATAACGCAGATTCCCCGAAAAGCAGAGTCCTTCTCCTCATTATCTCTAATATTTCTCAACGACGTGCACCTTTTATTAAAAAAAACAAACAAAAAACACATCATTAAGATATTTGTTTTAAGACTATTTTCAAAAATAGAAGCTTTTACAAGTGACGCACCAGGGTCTGATGAAATGCTGCAGCTGTGGGGCCACTTCCTGAGGGCAGACGAACCCGAGTCTGCCGATCGTAATGGCTGCAGACGTGAAAACGCAACAAAAAAGTTGCAGGTCTGGCAAGAACACAATGTGTGTGCATCGTGGATTGTGTGTGTACCTGTGTTTTCCAGCAGAGTTTTGGGTGTGTTGGGTCTGTTGATGATCTCCACCAGGTGAGGGAGCACCATGCCAACGTAAGGCTGCATCTCTGCACCTACACAGAGGCGGAAGATCAGAGAAGTAAATATAACTTGAACAAAAATAAATAAATAAAAACACTGCAACAATAATGGATTTATGCACTTCTATAAAACACTGATATTCATAGTCTATGGAAGTGTAAATACATAAGAAAAAAAGTTTAACACAATTTACAAACAAAGAAAAATTTATCTTACAAGACTAGAGACTCTACCCTAAACTGGAACCATGAAATGTTCAGTATCTGGATCAGAAAATGTTTTGGGAACAAAATGTATCATTGCGTATCAATGAGCTGGGTGTTTCATCACTTCCAGATATAGCTCACGTTTTAAATGAAAAACATAAATAAGTCATTTAAACCAGGAGCAGCTCTCTCACCCATTTGCATAGAGATCTCCCCGATGGCCCAGGTGGCGTTGTTACACACAGAGATAAACTCTGGGTTCAGGTTGAGGCCCAGGATGGGCATAAACTCAGCTGAAAGGAAGCAAAGCACACAATGGTTACAAAAAGATAATGCTATTTATTTTCAGGTTTCATTAATTAAAAACGAGCCATGTCTGACTACAGCAGATACAAACTTACTTCTAAGTGATGTTTATTTACTCCAGATTAAAGTGACTTACCAATGCAGGGCTTCACATGGAGGAAGCACGCCTTGGTCAGATCCCCCAGGAGGGCGAAAGAGCTTTGTCTCACTTCAGGCATGGTGTCCTGTGACAAAAAAAGAAAAATCGTGTTACACTTAAGAGGTTTAAAAAAAAAAAAAACTTATCCGATATTTTAACCACAAAAGTGAAGAATCAAAAATTCTGATCACACCTGCATGCACTGAAAAAGAAGGGTCATTATGTTCGATCGAGCCACTAGTTGCTCCACGTGGCCGCCGAGACCCTCGGCAAGTCCACTCAGCAGATCCAAGGCCACGATCATAAAATCTTTGTCTGGAGCCTCGTACTGGTCAGGATGCTGGTTGTACATCTGAACAGACAGGAGAAGGCATAAGCTTCACATCTTCTTAGGAAACCTAAGAAGAAAAAAGTTTGGAGAGTTTTCAGCGTCTCACCATCGCCTGAGCAAGCGTCTTTTGGACTAACGTGACGCATCGCTGATAAACAGGCTCACAATACGGCAGGAAGCCACTCTGCAGCGCTGTCGCTACGGACGACAGACACTGGAAGAGAAACAACAATTTAGGAGTTTGCTTAAACATAATGGTAGCTAGAAAACTCGTTTAATTTGTGATTTTGGTCATTTGAAAGAACTTGCATGAGAAAATATATTTTTACCCAAAAGATATTCACCTCTAATAAAGGGAAAAGATCCTTGTCTTCATCTTTTAGCTGATTCCACTTTGCTATTAAAGGGGGCATCAGCTTCTGAATGTACTCCTAGAAAACATGCCTCTGATTAGTGATGAGTACATAAAGCAGTGAAGAAAAAAAACCACTAAGTCTCACCACTACTTTACTATAAGCTTTAAAACTGTATGATCCCACCATTGAGGGTCTATTAACAGATTAGCCCACAGCAAGTTTAGCATGTCTACACAAGATACAATTGCTTTGATGGGACGTCCAGAGCCAAATTCTCCTCTTGGATTCTGACCTACTTCCTCCATCAAAGCACCTGCAGCAAATTATTTACTTTTATCCATTATAGTTATTTCCTAAATTAAAAGGAAAAGAAAAGCAGAGTAGCTGGAATTTAATATTGGTCCAGAAAGGTATAATCAGTGCATTTCTACTTAGCGAATTTCCATGCCCGGCAACTGAAGAGTCACAAACTTTATAATATCTAGATAAATTTTTTTTTATGAATCATTCAGTCTTTCACCATATGAAGATCTATTTAAATGAGTAATTTGTAGAAATTGGTAAAACAGAATTTTGTATTTTCAAATCCTTTAGTTTTTTTTACAGGATTAGAATAGAGCTAAAGTAGTTATGTCCTAGTTTGTTTTTCCGTTGGAAGTGCAATTTAAATTTCCTCCAACAAGACACGCCTTCAACGGCAACACTGAGGAAACGCAGACAAGAGTCAGACTATTATTCTCTCGTCTATGCAAATCTAAACGCATCATCTCAAATGTATTCAAATCAAAGAACTGCGGTCATAGAGGCAAGAAAGAACTGACAATGACGGGGAAAAAAAGACACTTACAGGTTGATTAAGATGGTGACCCACTGAATCTGCCAAAGTCCCGATAGCATCGTACAGGATGAGGAGATTCTTGTGCTGGTATTTCCCGAAGGCAAATACCAGAGTGTCCAGGATGAAGCTCAGGTAGGGGACCAGTTCTGTGCACGCCTCCTCCTCCAGGGTGGCAAAGGAGCTGAAAACCCAAGATAGAAATTCTTATTTCTCTCAATCTGGGTGTAATAGTTTAACACAAGCAGAACACACGTCAGAGGGAAAAAAACAACGTGTATCAGTGTGCAGAAGTTATGTCCACATAAAGAGGAACAGAAGAGGAAAGCTGCTCACCTGCAGGCGGCCTCCTGCACCCTCTTGTTGCTGTCCAAGATGCGCTTCAGGAGCTCAGTCATGAGGGGTTTGAGGTAGGAGTCGGGGGGCTGGGAGACTACCCAATGTGCGTAGCGACTCAAGGTCCAGCAGGCGATGGAGCGCACTAGAGCTTTCTTGTCGCTTAGACTCTGAATGAGGTGAGGGATGAGCTCAGGCAGGTAGGGAATCATGCCCTGCATGCAACCTGGGGTAAGAAGGGAACCACAAGAACAGAAAAAAAAATTTACTTTCACAACCCGACAAACGGATCAATTTGAACGATAGTCGCCGCAAAAGTAACGGGGATTTCTTCATGAGCTGTTCTAGATGTCTATAAATTTTGAAAAACAGAAGGCACCCCTCCCTGGTTAGAGAATCAGACAACTTCAACACTTCCCTGTACAGGATCGGCATTTCTGATGTCAAAACTTCAGCATGGCTAAAGCACTGCTGGGCCAAGTCTGTGAGCAAATGCTCCACTGTACCAACTAGTCATTAATTATTCAGTATCTGGATCAGAAAATGTTTTGGGAACAAAATGTATCATTTTGTTTCAATGAGCTGGGTGTTTCATCATGTCCAGGTACTGAGTAGGTAAAGCTAGCCACGCTAACCACTAAATTTCTTCAAAATACAGTTGAAAGACTCAACTATTTATGTTCATTTAAAAAATATTGGTAAAACGTTATACAGATGTTAAATAGCATATCATAGATCAATAAGTTTTATGCTACTCATATGAAGAAAAATATACACAATTGGAAATCAACCTCAAAAATCTCTTAAATACATAAATATGGATCTGATTCTGCAAGGCAGATGCCGCCATTAAAATAAATAAAAAAAGGACAAATGTTATGCTAATAAAGAAAGCTGTCATCTGTAAATAAGATACAGAGGCATAAGCACTTCAGATAATACAAAACTACCAACAGCTACACCTCTTCAAAAAAAAAAGTTTATTTAAAACATAATATTGCAGTTAGAGCTATGAACACCTTAGTTTTAAGTGTTTATCTAATTTAAAATGTATCCGCTTTTAAGTTTGACACATCGATGTCTGTGTTTACCTTTAGCAAGATTTAGCAAACTGATCACTACAAACAACAATGAATCCCATTCCATTGATTTTCTCCTAAATACCACAAAACAATAAAATCTGGCCTGCATGTGAACATGAATCGCACCCTATCACAACACGGACTTAATGGTGGAGCAACAGAAGGACATTCTGCTAATCTGACCTTCAGCTATGGCTCCAAGCACCAGGATGCCAGACTCCTTGATGACCCAGTCCGGGTGGAAGAGCAGCCCTTTCAGGAGCGGCAGAAGGTGAGGCAGCAGCTCGTCACGGAACACGTTGGCCAGAACGTCGAGTGCTGCAGCTGAACACTTTCCTAAGATTTGGGGAAAAACAAAAAACACACAATTTGAATATACAGACAAATTAACAAAGGAAGGTTAATTCATCAATTAGGTTGGTTCAGAAATAAATTGTTTACTTTTATTGAACTTGCAACGAGGACCAGTCAATACTCACGCAGGTTCCAGTCAGTCAGCGCGTCATCGTCATCGTCGTCATCCTCATCTTCGATGTCTTCGTCCTCTTCCCCCTCCCCTCCTTCATGCTGCAAGGTGACAGTGCGTGACTTGTGGAAGCGGGGCTTGATGTCCTGCTCGCTGTCCGGCACCGCTTCGTCTTCTTCCACGTCTCCCTGAAAAACCAGGAAGTACCGTCTCAGCACCAAGTGGCTCCGTCATAACAAGCTCTTTGCAGTAAATTCATACGTGAACGCCTCAGGCGCATCATCAAGTGTGTAAGACTCCTTCAGACTCTGTGTGGTGCATCTTCAAAGTACCAAATACTACTCTTACCTTCAATAGTATGATGTCGATCTCTGAATACTTCATCCCATTTACCAGAACAGGGATCAGTCTAAAGAAGGAAATGAATGAATTAGTGAGGAGAACAATAGCAAAAAAAAAAAACACCTCTTAAACTTCATGTTTTTAATAAGGGTTTTACTGAAATCTCAAGTGATTTCAGTAAAAGTGAAAGCATTTTCTTTGGACTTTAGGTGACGGATGAATATAAAATAGAGAAAGGGGGACGTTGAAGCTACAATCGTTGTGAACAATGTCACTATCAGGTTTACCAATTGGATTTGGAATTGACTAGGCCATCCTAACACAAACATGTTTCGTCCTGAAGGATACGAACAATATCAAGCTTCATGTATCGACTGACAAGCTTCAATTGCACAAAGAAGCTAAGCAACCTCATAGCCTAAAAATTGCTGCTGCCACCATGTGACTGAATGTGTTTTGTGTGCAAGCAGAATTGGTTAACCTTGTATCACTTTCATATCACACTTCTGTAACAAACACACAACCACCCTTTCAGAACCTACGAGACGATCTAAAGAAATCCTGGATCAGGCGATGATTGAATGAAAGACACTTTGCTTACAAATTGCAAGCTTTCTGTCACCTTTATTTCCCAAATTCAACAAACTACACTAATAGTGCAAAAGTGACTCACTGCACTAGATGTCCAGACAGCGCCTCCTTACAAATTGGTTGCTCCGCTAAAGTCAACCAGAACTCGCAGGCTTCCAGAGCCACGTTCTCATCAGGATCCTGAGTCCGCTGCAGCATATACTGTAGGAGACGCAGAAAACAAAGTTCATAGGTCGCCTCATATGGACAAAATGTTCAATGCTCAGTTTCTCTAAAACCACCTGCTGGCCTGAACTCACCTGAATGATGCTGTGCATATGGGGGATTAGACGGTCAATGCGGACTTCCAGCAACATGACGAGCGCTCTGCACACGTTCTTACGGACCTCGGAGTCTTCGTCTGCTGCCAGCACAAACAGACTCTGAACGAGAGAAGAAGGGAAGCAATGAAGCAAACGGTTTCAATGCATACACTGATTTAATGACCATCACAAGCTGACTGACCTCTATAAAAGTGTCAATGTTGTCCATGAGGGCCTGGGCTCTCCCTATGATGAACTGGTTCACGCAGGCGATAGCGTGGGACCTGCAAGAAAAATCAGTCCATCAGCATAGCAGAAAGACTTGTTTTTTTAATAAGCAAATATAACCCTTTTCTGCACTGAATAAATAAATATGTTTTCCCTCATTTAAAACATTGGCAAAAAAAAAAAAAAGCTACTGCTTTAAAAGGGAAACCAAGCTGCTGACAGATTGACAGATGGCTAGTTCTGATCACTGTGAGAAGTCTGGAATCACTTTAGGAGCTGCAAACACCTCCAACTGCATGAGACACACAAGTAGCATTTCCTGCTCTCTCCTGTACCTAATCTTTGGACTGCAATGCTTGAAGAACTGAAGAAATTTAGGTATCATAACGTTGAGGGGCCTGTTCAGAGCGTCGCTGTCCAGCAGCTCCGACGAGTCCTCGCAGATCTTCTGCAATGCCCCGAACGAGCCCTGAGACACGGACATACACAGAAAGGCTGTCAAATCAAACGCAAACATAGACGGAGACACAGAGGAGAGAACGAGACGAAATCAGAAGATCGACGTAGAGAAATGGGGATTAAAAGCACTGCACACATTTCAACTTTAAATCCTGTCTTTGAACTGTTCAAGGTTGGTCTAAAGAAGTACAGCTAGCCATCAGAAAGTAGATATTGCCTAAAATGGTGTTATTAAAGTCGCAGCTCTGTAGGGACTAACCTCACAAGTGTTGTAATCCTCCGAGTCGAGCAAGTTGCAGAGCTGTGGCAGCAGCTCTGGCCATGATTGCAGCTCTCCTTTGGAGGCGATGGTGGTGATGAGGATGCCTGGTAGAGCAGAGGAGGCAGAGATTATACAACAGCCTCCAATCATGTTTAAAAATCAAACATATGTGCACAGATTTTGCAGAGGTTCTGGATCAGACAGTATGAATACAAAGACCTTCACGGGTACTCAGAGGTTTTAAATGCATCATCTCCAGACAGTAACAGAAATAACGAGAACAGTTCATTAGCGTCATTAATTTATTCATTTAGGGGGGGTGGGGAACTCACCAATGGTGGCCCGGATAAGCGGAGACGGATCTCCGATGCTGTTGAGGCATTCCCGCTTGATGAAATCGCAAACTCCTGAAGGAAAGTTCTGGTAGTGGGCCTTAACATTGTTCTTCAGTATCAAACCACTCAAAGAGCGAGTCGGCTCATCTGACCAGAGAAGAAATAAAGACATTGGGGTATGAATCGGGTGAGCGTAATACAGTAAAAACCAAATCAATTTTAAAGAATTTACTGATTTGTAATTTAACAACATACAAATTAAGAGCATAAAGAGACAGGCATAAGACTTGGCATTGAGTCATCTTGTTTTATTTTCTGCAGAAGTTAGATTCAGCTGATATCTGTATAGATTCTAACACAGTGTTTCCCAACCCTGGTCCTCAAGGCACATTGTCCTGCATGTTTTAGGTATTTCCTTGAGTCAGTCCAGCTGATTGCCATTGATGAATGATTAACAGGCGTTTGCTGACCTGCAATCAGTTGAATCAGGCACATTAAAGCAGGGAAACCTCTAAAACATGTAGAACAGTCTCCATTGAGGACCAGGGTTGGGAAACACTGTTCTAATAAAATGAAAATCCAAGTTAAACGCCAGTAGCTCAAGTGGAGACACAGAATTAATTAATCAGTGTTCTTCAGACCTGTTGACATTCCTGTGCAGAAGAATGTCCCCAAACATGATTAGTGAAGCAAGAAAGACATGTTGACAGCTTGTAAAAATAATGGATGAATTACTAACACATGACATAAGTTTATCTTCAAATTCCTAGAGAAGTGTTTGAATTCAACCAAGCACCATATGCTTACCTTCAGTTTTCAGTCTAGTGAGGACAAAGATGAGATAGTTGTTGAAATCGGGGAACTGATTGAGTTGTTCAAGTTTCTAGTAAAGCAGTTAAGGACAATGTTGTTCACCAAATCAGACGAAACACTTCGAGGAACTGCCTACAGTTTAGAAGCTCAAGCTTTGTTTAAGTGTTACACATGTCAAATACTGAATTCAACAACCACAGTTAATCCTTAGCATCAATTTTCCAAAAAAGTTGTTTACAGATGCAGACAAATCTGGTGGTGGCTGGTTTATATTCGGCTCCAGACTAACGTAACTGCTGTATTATTTAATTTCCCTTTAGGATTAATCAAGTATTTTTGAATTAACTGAGTTCATTTGAAGAGGAGTTAGTTTAATTTTTAGAAGCAGCATTTCCAGAGGTATGACTGTATGAAGACACAGAGAATTTTGGCTGTTTGTTTTTTGCCAAAATTTAACAGCAATAATTTTTAAAGATGTTCTATTATTATCAAAATGCGTCACAAAATAGTATGTCGATATCATCCATATTTATAACTTTTTGATAATCTCAGCAACAAGTGTTGAATCTACAGTAATTTAAAAAAATAAAACACATGGAAACTCTGGTTTTACTAATGCTACCAAAATATATAGCCAATATAAGAATGACAAATTAAATTGTGAGGTCAATATTAATTTTTTGTTGAACTTTCATAGGCTTTCCAATGGTTACGAAAATCAATTGCAGAAACTCTATAGAACATTTTAAAACCGTTTTATATTGCTGAAGGAGAAATCAGAATCTGCTCAAATTTGTAATGGAAAATTGGCCACAAAATTAAGATGGGTGCATCGCTACCCCTTAAAATTACACTGCAGCAGGATACTTGTTGGACTGCTCTTTGCGTGACAGTGTTGGGCGACTGGGAGTCTTTAAGCAGCTGGAGGACCTGCTGGAGTCCCTGTTCATCTGGCTGCCACTCCATCCTGTTGACACAGAAGCAGCTGCACTTCAACATGTGTGGCGAAATGCACGTAAGATGCAGAATATGGTGAAAGCATGTGGTTTCAGATCAGACAGTATGAATACAAAAACCATCAGTGGAGGTCAGGCGGTTTTAATGCATCATTTCCGATCCACATGTATAGTCAAGCTAGCAACAAGCTAGAATCTATGCGACGTTCCCACCATCGCATCGCTGGCTCAAGTGGGAACAAATCCTGTCTGCCAGCGAATGGGTTTTAAGTAGAACATGTTTGCGGCACAAAAACAAAGCCATTAAACCACACGACCAGCTAAAATCTCCGTGACCCGGCTTAACCACCTCAGTTTAATCCCATCCCCGCCCCCACGCCACCCGGTCCGCCAGTCCACGCAGCTGGTCTCAATATTTCTGCCCAAATTTCAACGCGGAGGTTGCCAGCGGGTGGGCCAAAGACACGCGGGTCATCGGAGGAGACGCGTGCGAAAAAAAAAAAAGTTATGAGGAAACAAATGCGCGACGACTGGGCAATACCGCGATGCGACCACCAGAAAGAATATAATGGCGCGTTATCCTGACTGAATAACACACTGCTAGTTTAGCATGTGGTATGTTTTAATTGATTGACTTCATACGGCAAACCTGATGCTGCAAAAGTTGCCCTTCTACTTCAGGCCTACACGGTGAGGCAGGCAGTTCCCCCGGTGTGCTCACAATGTGCCCCCGGTTAAAACCAATAACTCCCCCGAATGTAACACAAACAGACCCGGTCTATACTTATTCTGACAACCAGAAGTTTCTAACACATGTTCAATATTACACGCTAATGACACAAATTCGGTAGTAATTTTAAAAATTTGCCGAACACGTTTTCGTGTTAGCCGCTAAGCTGCTAATGCTAAAATTACTAGCCGTGCTAACGTCGACATTCATTTTGATCGTTGCTGCATCAACATGTCTTCTAAAATGCAATGCGAACGACGTAATAACATACTTTGTTGAAAATAATCTCCTTCGAAATTGTACCTACAATATTGATTGGAAAGTTGTATAATCAGTGCTGGGCCGCCCGTCTTCTGCTTCGTATCAGTTCAAATGAGCACGCCGACTTAAATTGACCCACGTCGGCTTCCGTTAAGCACAGGATTTCAGATAGTTAAAGTCACGCGAGATTATGTCTGAAACTTGTGCTAAGGATAAAATAGTCTTCCCATTTTTGTAAACTTTTTCTCACAAAAAAGTTAAAACGTTTCTTTATTCTTTAGTGTCATTACTGCTGTTATTTGGCTAATAAATGTATCTTAGGTCATAGGGACCGTTTCAGTTTTTATATTGCATTAATGGTATCTTACGAATGTCTTAACTTGTAATTTTCTTGAAGGAGTATTTTGTTTTTAACTAGTCTGGTGTACTTCATAGAGTGGTTGTGACATGTAAGTATATCAGATCATCAACCACTTTTGTGTATATCCTAAGAACGCAAAAAATACAATTTTCTAATTTATTAAGGGTGAAAGCGATCGAAGTGGTCATAGGACAACATGATTTTATCACCAAATGAAGCCTAAGTTGTACAACTCTGTCATAATGAAGTTATTTACAGCCTTCAGTATTTTATTTAAGTATTGGCTTAATGACATTCTAAAGTCTCCATTTTCATGCTATTAAAACAAACAAACAAAAACAACAAGGTGAAAATAAAAGCACATTATTATTTTATTTTTTTTGAGAATAAATCTCAATTTAAAGGGAAGTCAGGTGCTAGTAAAAAGCCCAAACACATTCTGTACCCTCATCAGTTAAAAGCAACACCTTTGCTGATATTTGCATTAGTTGAGGTTTTGTTGTTGGTCACAGGTTCATACACTCTATCAACCTGAGGACTTGTGAAATTTGTACTTGTATAGCATATATTTACACTACAAACAAGGTGAAGTTCAAGGGGAATTGTTAGTGATGTACACAGTTCTGTGTCAAAGACAAGTTACTCCCTCTTTCATTCATGAGACAAAGTCTTGACTCTTGAGGAATATTTTACACAAGTCAAAGAAGGCAATACTGTCTTGTAATTCTCAAAAGGATTTTTGGAAGCAGAAAATAAAGAGAATAGTTTTTTAACTTTCATTTGAAAATACAAGTCAACATTTAAATGCAACCAGGATTAAGATTTACACTCAAGTTAAACATTTAGAAATTTCTCCATGTTTTGTAGAAAAATTCAGATAGGAGCTCACCAAATACAGTTAAAGATGTGGATGTAATCTCTCTATATTTTAATGGTGACATAATTTGTTAGGAGATGCTTGATCCTTGGACTCATTGACCTCACTTCATTCATAGAATGTAGTTTTAAAACACACACTACTGACAAGGAAACTTAACTTTTTAGATTTTTTTCAACGCTTACAACTACAATTGTGTATTTCAGTATGATTGATATGCAAATAATATTGTACCTGAATAAAATAATTTCTTTTAAAAATAAAGATCTACTATATTTTTCTTCTCTAAACATACTGCTTCAATCCAAAATTTCTCTAATAAAGGTCAATGCAAGAAAGACTATAGCAAAAAAAATAAAAAATTAAAGCAGAAATTTATTCAACAAAATTTTATCAGACTTATAAACATAGAAAATACAACTTGAGTCACAAAAAGCTGAAGCTGTTTGTCATGAGTCTCCCCTGCAATTACACCGACAAAGCTTATTCAAAGTCTTATTATAAACACATAAAATTGTAAAACGGACAAAGACTAAAAACCTAACATTCACAATCCAGAGGAAGCATGCTGTTACTCCACCATTACTTCCAAAGGAGAGGGCATGAAATGCTTTTCATAACCTGAGGTAGACTGTTCATCTTCTGATGAGCTCCAACAATCATTCCTCTCTTCATCAGAGTCGACCATTTTACTGTACTCCTTCCTCCCATATCTGCTATCTGTGCTGTCACTGTTTTCTCTGGTGGTATCTTCCTGTTGATCATCTTGGCAGTCCATCAGGTGACAGCCATTCTCCTTTTTCATCATGTCAGAGTCAAATACCTTGGACTTTATTTCCACAACTTCCAAAACAGAGATTGTTGGATAAGGTTCGTAGTGGGGAACGCGGATCCAAGTCAAGGGCTCGTTAATCTACAGGTAGGTCAAAGAGAAGACTATTATTTTTACATTTTGTAAGTAAAACATAAAAAAACAGCATGTCATTGTAATTACATATCAAATAATTTAAATGATCTTTAATAATTACAGTTGATTGGAGATTAGAGTTTTGCTCACCTGGTGCTTCATCTGTTTGAAGATTTGGCTGTTGCTGGGATCTGGCACTTTCTCATACAGACACTGAGGTAGGAGTGGGCACTCTTTTTTGGCTCTGTGACAAACACTGAAAGCAAAAAGATACATGAACAGACACCATCAATACTTCAGTTCAACCATGTTAAAATTCATACAGTTCATCACAAATGGCATAAAATTCCCCAAGAACTTTTTCACATTACAAAACAAACATCACTATATTTTTTAATTGCATAAAATAGCAGATGATGGCATAGATGTAGAAAAAAAAAACAACAAGATGCATAGTTTTCAAAATTGTTACTCATAAAAATATGAAAAGATTCACAAACACTTTACACAATTAGCTAATCGGAGTTGAAGGAAAGATGAATGGGGTTAAATACAAGACTCTAGCATTCTGCGGAAAAACATCTGATGGAGCCTTAAAACTCGCCTAAACATACAGCTAAAGCTACAATGATGTGGCTTATTTCAAAACATTTTCATGAAATGGAAAATAATGGTGCCACTACTACTCAGATTCTGGAGTTATCCTTGGAAATTGTCAATCATAGCAGCTCTACATTTATGTTGAATGTGTGCAAGCTAATCTGCACAAAAGAATGGACAGAAATTTCCATACAAACACCATAAAGTCATGCCCTGAAAGATTCACAACACTGTGTTGGTCTTTCATACAAAATTACAAAAAATAAATTTCCATTTATGGAAATTAAAATTGTAAACAAGTTTAAGGGATGTGAACATTTTTAAAGACAAAGTATATATTTTTGCTTTGTCCAATCAGTATTTATGTTCTTTAATGATTGGTGTCCAGGTATCTAGCAATGATTTTCTTACCTTAGTATGAAAATGGTGAGAGCTATGGTGATGACCAGCACCACTATAACCACAATGGGAGTCACAAATGCTGATAAGAAATAGAAATATGGTGGAAGAAAGAAATTTAACAAATTTACTTGTTGCAACCATTTTGCAGGATATTACACCTTAACATAAAGTTAAATCATGATGGCATACCATAATCTTCATGATTGATTGTTGTGACTATTGTGTTGACCTTTTCACTGGGCCCAGCAGAGGTCACAGCTCGTATCCAAAACGTGTATTTCTGACCTGGACTAAGAGCCTCCAGCTTGTAAGTCGTTTTTGAGGTAACTTTTATGTTGGGCATTGGAGTAGAATTGTGTTTTGGATCTGAGGCTAAGAAAACAAAACAAAACATAGGACCATCAATCCACACAGTCAAAGAGCATCCTAACTTAGAAAAAAATAAAGATTGCACTGTTTAATTGTAATATTTGTATTCAAATTTCCATATTAAATTAATATCCTCCACTATCAAAATAACCTCATTGTCTTGTTGGCACGTCTGAGAGTAAAATAAGAAAAAAGATCATATTTTATGCTATATTGTACTGGTCATTAGCTCACTCCTACATGAGATATCACCATTTCAGTCAAGAGCCACAATATAACAGTCTTTTTTTGTTGTTGTTGTTTTGTATTTTTATGTTATTTAGCTATTTTCTTGTTTACAATATTTGTCATGTTCATTCACGTCTCGTCTTCCTAATTTGTTTTGTCTTCTATTGCTGCTTTGCCAAATAAATTTCTCTGGATGTGATCAATATTTTTATCTTTAGTTGGAATCCCTACATATCCATATTGGAAAATTCTATTCTGTCAAAGACAAAATATTTTCATTTCACTTTACTTTGATCCATGTAAATTGTATCTGCTTTTTAAGCTTTATTGCACTAAACTGAATAAATTAGTCATTTAAGATAGTACAAATAATTAAACTAAGGGGAATTGGACAGGAAAGAAAGAGCTGCAGCATACAGTAACTACAGAACATATTTGAAATACTATTATTGCTGGTTGTTTAATTGTGGTACATTTACTTTTTATGCTATGTTTGCAATTTGATTGTAGTTGGAGTTAAGAGAGTTTTTACTCCTTTGTTGCCTGTAAGAAATAAAATACAATCTAAAGAAATCTGTGTTATAGAAAATGAAAACATCTGTGCATCCTACTTTTTCTGTTATGTATTCTACTGCAATTAATTGTATTATATAATATTGTTCATAGCATTTTGTACCTCCTGGCATGTCCAGTCCTATTTCATAGTACAAGGTCACCCCCCTCTGGTTGGAACAGGGAACTGGGTCCCAAGTCAGAGTCACTTCAGTTGTACCAATATGAGACACCTTGAAAGAAGACACTTTGGAGGGAACTGATGGAGAAAGAGATTTAATCATGAGTTTTAATCATGAGTTGATTAAACCTTCAATACAAGAAAATACAGTGACAAGGGATTTATGTATAATAAATCAGCACACTCACCTCCCTGAGCTGAACATCCTGTAGCTGTTGCAAGTTTACTAATTTCATTCAAGTTTGACACTGCAAACAATGATACTTGGTATGATGTGTACTTTTTAAATGCACCTACAGTTGGAGACAGATGAGAGTAAAAGAACCAGCATTTAAAATAAAAAAAATATGTTCCAAACTTTAGAAAAAAAACAAAACTAAACAGCTTAAATGTTTCTGAACCACCACAAAGAAGCCAAATATATATGTGCAACTAGAGGAACATACAAACACAGGTCACTAACCTTTAAAAAAGACTGTGGTCTGTTTATTGTCCACTTTGACCCAGTCAGATCCATTTCCAGGTTGACTCTCTTTGTATTGCACCACATACTGTTTGATGCTGTCAGAAACCTTGGAGGACAGGTTCCAGGACACAGTGAGGTTCCTTTCGTTCATTTCGAGGTGAATGTTTTGTTCAGTTTCTTGTTTTCC